TCCATTTGAAACAGTCATTATTTTTCCATTGAAGAACACATTTATACAAAATTGATATTATCAGGTAAACTCAGAGAGGATGTCTATTTAAATCACCAGGTGTTGACCATTTACTCTCCCTACAAGCTCCGATATGCCACAGGTAATTCTGATAACCCCATGGCATGTTATTGCCCCTTCAAGCGGGTCCTCCTCTTTTTTCGACACCCTGTGCAACACAAGTGTCAGCAACACAGAGAGCAAAGGGTAGAGACAAAATCAAATCAAAACAACGGCTCATATTTAATTCTCTGATGGTGAAAAATTGATTCGACGTAATCGAAAAACATTCGAAATACGAAGGTCTCTCTAAACCAACCAGACAACAAATCAAAATCTGTACCTCTGATCAACAGACGATCATTTGATATTTATTGAAACTAATACTCGTTGACGAAGGAAAGGTATCATCCTGACTACATGGGGATTACTTAAATATGAAGAAACACATTTTTCAAAGAAACATCATACTAAGTACAACTTGAAAATAGTAACTCTATAAGACCATATCAAAAAGGGGTTACCGCAGTAAGAGCACTATTCTTTGATAATATTGTAAGTACTCAGTAGTAAGTAGGAACAGATGGGAAAATGCTTTTGGCCGAGATAAAAATATTTAATTAGCTCAAAATATTCACATAAATCAACTGAACAAGGTAACATTTCCATCAATATATAGATCCACATGTCCAAGTATGAAATGTAATTTTTCAGACATATATAAAAAACAAAACCTTAACCTTTCCCTCTGGCTGGACTCTCAACAGCAGAACATTATCATGCATTAATTGAAAATCAAAGGGAAAAACACCCTCATCAAGTGTTGTCTCAGCAGGTGCTCTGAAAGAAACAATTGTGAGTGAGCACTTCAGGTGGGACAGAGTTAGGTGAGCAGAGCAACCATGACATACAAGCAAACAGAGAAAACAAGGGAGGGGGGGGGGGGGGGGGGGGGTATTCGCTACCCCAGGAGCACAGAAACTTTCACAGAGTCTGCTACTGCAGGTCAACACACAAACAAGTTTTTATGAGACTGTGTAAACAAAACGCACAAAACTGAAATTAAAACAAACCTTTCTACATGGTTCAGCACTTATAAAAGCTCCTTGAACATATGGGAAATGGTTAAACTGAGTGACAGCATGAAATAATTAAAAGGCCAACCATGGTCAGAGTCTTGCAGGAGACAAGAGTCAAAATATAACCCCGTGATTGCAAAAGCTGAACATAATTAGAATAAGGAGCAGTTGTAACTAGTGCAAGATACACATCTACCAACAGCACCAAAATTTGAAACACCACAACCACAATACTTCTACTTCACTAAAGACATGATCTAAAAATGTTAAAAGCCCTACAAGGTATTATTTCATTTCCAACTTTTTTTTCTAATTTCATCAGAAGACTGTTAAAATGTTTTTGGGGTTGTTTTTTTTAAACCACATAAAGAGAAGCTGTTAACTGAAAGAAAAAAAACAACAAAACAAAACTTAAAACAGACTAGATAACCTTGACATACAAGAAAAACATTACTCCCAGGAGCAAACGTAGGTGACACAGGCGAAACTATTCGTGGCAAGATTTCAAACATCCGGTCAAAAGGAAAATTTCGTTTCTCCTGAAAAGCTACACCACTTTTTTCGGCAACAAAATACACGAGGTATGAAACTTACTGACAGTGATGATGAGCGGACCGAGCCACACGTGAAGGACAGAGGTGCAAGCAACCAACTCTCACTGGATGGAAGCCCTCGGTGGCACCAGAAAAATCTCCTTACCACCACTGACATACATTGCAGTGGATCGTTATTCATCAAGGAAATCCCAGTTCCAATATCTAACTCTATTCCTCTTATTTGACAAAAGTTTCTCATCTTTCATTGTTTCTTTTTTTCTTTTTTTTTGGTCTTCTGCAGCAACATAAAATTGTAGGCAAAGAAAATAAATCCAACAGACAGATTCTCTCCTGAATTTCTTTCAATCATGAGTTCGACATCTTCTATTTCAACTTTCCCCAAAGAAGCATGAATATTCCAACCTCTCTCTAAAACGTGACATAAAAAATTGCCTTAATGGATCAACTCTTTGATCACACATGGACCATTGAACCAGTTCCCTTTCGCCTCAAATCTATCAATGTGGAAACCTTTCCCTTCTCAAATGTTATCCACATTCATTTCATCATCAGAACTGACATCGGTGATACTGGCAAAGGAACTGCGAGATGTTGACCTTCTCTCTTTGTCTTTCACCGTACTGGCAGCTGAAAAGGAAAAAATGAAGAAAACTAATTTTTTTTAAAGTATCCACAGTCAAGACCAGATTATAAAACAATAAATAAAAACTTTACCAAACAAAGAAAAAAGCTCACCAATCTATACTACCGGTACAGGTATATCTATTCCAACATCTATACGATCTGAATTTTGGAACACAATAAACATCAGGCCTGCTGTTGCTTCAACATCTCGTCTATGTCCACATCATCATCTTCATCATCAACGTCTTCAAAAGCCAGATCTGAAGCAGACACTAGTAATAATGGTTCGCTTCTCATTTCTTTCATTGGGAATCTCTTTTTAAAAAAACCTGAACCATCCCGGCCTTCTTTCCACCTTCTCAATGTTTTAAAAAGTTCTCAAAATAAGTCTACCTCTGCCTCTTTTGCCACCTATTTCTTCCTGTGAGAGCAAAATGTCCAAGGCCTTTATGGAGATTAAAATGTCCCTGAAACTACATCCATGTACATCTCCATACATTAAGGTGGGAGTGATCATTTCCCCATCAGCAGAAACTGCTCCACAAAAGAAAGTCTCCCCATTACAACCATTTTGATCGGTAAACAAACCCCTGCAGAATCAAAACAGATCACCTACACAGAAGAGGGGGGCTCTCGTGGTCTAGAGGTTAAGGTGTTTGCCTCTCATTCAATTGGTCCCGGTTTTGAATCCAGATAGCAAGATTTTCGTCTCTAAAATTGTCTCCTTTCACCTCCTTTCCTGCTCTCTAGCAATGTTATGTCATCTGCTTTCATCTCCACTTTCTGCCCCTACCTCCTCACCTCCTTTGCCCCCTACTCTGGGCTCCTGATTCTTTCTGCAGTCTTTCTACTGCTACTCCCTGGCTCCTTCTTACTGCTGTCTTTCAGCCACAACCCTGATCTTCTGGTAAGAGAGATCTACACCTAGTCTTCTCAGACAAGGGCCAAAAATCTCAGAGGTCCCGTGTGCAAGTTGCACACGTTAAAGATGCCTTGGTGGTCCAAAATCAATAAGAGTAGGCTTCGGCTGCCACCCAGACAAAATTGAAAATTTCCTACCAACTGAAGATGTTTAATGTGTCCCACACGCTCATATGACCGTATGCAGTTGCGAACGCCGCAAAACACTTACCAAAAAACCCCCCAAAAACCCCATAGCAGAGCCGGTTTCTCTCCAAAATGAGAACTGGTGGAAAATCGCACAACCTCAAATAATATCTACACAAAATCATGCCAGTGGACTACCCAGATCCATCTTGTCATGCCTGCAGGGAGGAGGACAAGACTATGGACGTGTTCCTGAAATATCCCACCAGAAGACATCTGCTGGGACATTTCCGGGACCCACATTCAGAACTTTTCAAGGACCCCCTAGCGAGTGTTGAGTTCCTGCGTGCTGTTGGCATCGCTGACTGCTTATGAAGCCACAGTGCCAGAAATGAGAGAGAGAGAGAGACTCACTATACATACAACACATTCACTCTTTCACGACACATACAACACATTCACTCTTTCACTACACATACAACACATTCACTCTCTCACTATACATACAACACATTCACTCTTTCACGACACATACAACACATTCACTCTCTCACGACACATACAACACATTCACTCTTTCACTACACATACACCACATTCAGTCTCTCACTACACATACAACACATTCACTCTCTCACTACAAATACAACTCATTCACTCTTTCACTACACATACAACACATTCACTCTTTCACTACACATACAACACATTCACTCTCTCACGACACATACAACACACGACACATACAACACATTCACTCTCTCACTACACATACAACACATTCACTCTTTCACTACACATACAACACATTCACTCTTTCACTACACATACAACACATTCACTCTTTCACTACACATACAACACATTCACTCTCACGACACATACACCACATTCACTCTCTCACTACCGGGGTGGGGGTCCTCACCTGGACCATGCCCTATCTGTGACCTGCTTTCTGATTCTGCCTACCGTCAGACAAATTAAGAATTTGAGTTCGATTTTCAATATTAGCAACATGTGTTATATATGAAAATAAAGGGGAAATTATGACCCATCTCAACACTTTATTAAAAATTATCATTCTTCAGTCCGAGACTTCAGATTCGATTAATAAAAAAAGTAGGTCTGGTCTTGAAGCAGGAAGTGGCAACATGTGAATCAAGGCTCGGAGTCCAGCGTTGAGGGTCTCACGTGGCGAGATGTGAAATACAGCTTGCGGTAGTTTAAGAGTCAACAATTTAGGTAAATGCTGCACTAAAACTTTTTTGGGAAAATGTTGCACTAAAACTGTTTTTAAAAAAAGGGAGTAGTTGGTATTTTTCCATCAGAAGAAAAGTCAGTGTTTGTGACGACAGTGTTTGAGCCGAGTCGTTCAATATTTTACGTTCTGTGTTGCTTGTGTATATGACCTGACAGTCAAAATTATGCCAAATGAGAACTGGAGGAAAATCGCCCAAGCTGAGATCATATCTCCACAAAATTGCGCCACCAGAAAACCCAGATCCATCCTGTCGAGCCTGCAAGGAGGAGGACGAAACTATGGACCATGTGTGCCTGAGATGTCCCGCCAGCTATCGTGCCAGAAATCGTATACTGGGACATTTCAGTAACCCACTTTCAGCACTTTTTAAGGACCCCCGGGCAAGTGTTGAGTTCCTGCGTGCTGTCGAAATCGCTGACCGTTTATGAAGCCACAGCGCCAGAAAAGAGAGAGAGACAGTCAAATTCATGCCAGAAACATTGGTGGCTGTGATTGAATGAGGCAAATCATTGTTCTGCGCTCTTTTAACATCTTGTGTCTTTTCTGAACTTTTTAGAAGGTAGGCCTTTAAATCAATTGAGCCTATTCCCGTGTTAACGAGATGCCCCGTGGGTCCTGTGGCCAAATCCCGTGTATTTACAAGATGCGCTTTATCGATCGATATCTCCGGTGTTTTTCGGTTACAAGCTACAGGAAGCGGCGAGCCAACAGTTGACCCACTTGTTTCGTTTCTTTAAAAATTTGGTCTAGCTACATGCAATATTTTTTCAGCTGTAGCGGACTAAACCAGTCACCCCTGCATTGCAATGGATGATTTTATTATAAATTGGGCGCAAAAGAAAATGCGTAACCCCCAGACATTGTCATTTCAAAATATTGATCAAACAAAAACTATTTGGTCAAATTAGACGCAGATTTTTCTGTGAGAGTATTCTTTTCTTTCTCTTGTTCCATTAAAAAAAACAACTATGATAGCTTTCAAAGTCTTCATTTGGTTAAAGTTTCAATCTACCCCAAATGTGTCAGGCTGCAATGGTTGTTGGGTGAACAATAGCTCAGGCTCAAGTGAGTTAACAAACAACACACACATTTTCTCTTAATCAGCTCCTATCACAGAAACCATTACACTATCGTTTAGTCAAACTGATTGGTACATCCATTCTGGGCAGCAAATGTAACACACAGCAACAAGGTAATGCACACTCATTCTCTCATTTTTGTCTCTTTTTTCCACTTCAACCTTTTCTGTTTCGGCCTTATCATAACGTCTACTTTTCCGAAAAGCCAAAAAATTAACTCAATGTCAAACCAAGAACTGCTGGACTTTCTCATTTATACTGATACTCTGTCATGGGACATGCTGGGTGCTTCTTTTGCTGATAGTTAATTCTGTCTTGTGTAAGGAAAATGATCCAAGACAAGTTTTTTAATGTCTTTACTAAGATGGCTATTGAACATCAAACAAAACAGAGCAGGTTTGAATGCCTCACTGTGCCACAGTTCTGATTTGATTGATTGAGTAGGTGTTTTGCGGCACTATCGACTCAATTTTGGTAATTTAAGTGCCCAGGATGCCAAAATAAAAAGTCGTTCTTATAAAAAAAAGTTGCATAAAACCGTACCTTTGACCAGCTGGGACAGGCTCATCTGGTGCAGTGGTGTCGTCCCAGTCGCTTTCCTCGTCCAGGTTTCCCTGTACCACACAGTCAGACACAATATGTGAGGCAGCGTGGTGGAATCAGGCTCTCGTCAATTTTTGGGTATATTGAGTTATTGGTATCATCTTAAAGCTAGTGCATTTGTCTTGCTTTCAATAAAAAAAATTACCCACCAATCTTCAATAGAAGTGGAGATATTTTGGATTGAAGAAGGTGGGGTAACCTGATTTAAAAGGTAAAATTAGCGAGAAAATGGCCGCCAAAGCTCGATAAATTCCGAAGCTGGAGAGACCATGGAAACTGTAAATTTATATTTTTGTGCCTTTAATCGACGATTTCTGTGAAATCCTCCAAGGAATGTGTTTGTAAATGGACATAAAAGGTGTTGAGCCAAAAAACAAAAATTTGATAAAAATTGCTAAGCATGGAGAAAACTGCTGTTTTCTTTGATTTCATTATTTTGACGAGAGCCTGATTCCACCACGCTGCCTCACATATGAGCAGTGAGTAGATGAAATCATTGTGATGTCTGTCTATTCCAAGGCAACTAGCTATAGGGCTACAGCCAAGGAAACAATGCCGAACTTTCATCCCTGTAACTATCACCAGAATGAGAAAGGAGAATAATTGCCTAAACAGCATCAGAATTCTTCTTCCCTGTCCGTACCCGTGAAGAACTCAGTCAAGGCTTCATGAGCAGGGTGAAAGGAGCTCTTTGCCATCGTTCAAACTATTCGAACCAACTGATATACTTGAAAACAAAGACTAAAATAGTTTCTTTTTTTTTTTAGTACAGGTTTTACTGCACTCGCAACTGCATAAGGTCATAATATGAGCGCCATAAAATAGTTTAATGTAAGTGTTCAGATTATCTTAGAGAGTGCTCCTCCCCCCTTTCTTTCTGCAAGGGAAACCACTGCAATAAAATGAAAGCTGTTTTGCTTTTTTCAAGGTATCACTTTAAAACAGGGATTCCCCAAGTAGGGGCAGCAGAGGACTAAGTGTGAGTGCAGGGAATCCCTAAGTGCAGTAAGAAATGTGTTAAAACGAAAAAAAAGTGGAGGGCCCACAGCTGGCTATGTCGGAGAACAGACCCACATAGTTTTATTATCCTGAAAATCAGTTCTCCTTATGATTGAGAACGGACAATATAAATGGTGAAATGGTATAGGTTTAATACCCCTATCAACACAATAAGGTTATTTAGGAGGCGGGACCTCCGAGTTAGCGTCCATAATAATAATAATAATTGCATTTATATAGCGCATATCCACGCTCAAGAGCATGCTCTATGCGCTTTACAACTATTATTACCCCAGCAGACCCTCTGAGAACACTCAGAAACATTCTCGGCTTCCGCGGAAGCATACAGTGCAAGCTGCGGATTTCACGCACTCAAACACTCCATCTCCGAAAGGACCGAGCCAAATGGGAAATTTGTGTAAAGGGCCTTTCCCAAAGACAACGTTGGACCAAGCTGAGACTCGAACCCCCGATCCAACCATCTTACTATTACTGTTCAGGAAGCCTAATCACTAGGCTATCGATGCCACTCTGGCAATATAACTTCCTATAATAAGACAAGTCTATACAAAAGTATGTGTACAAAAGTGAGAGCATGTGTGCATCTGTGTGTTGTACACTGGTATGAGAGTGTTTGTACACAACTGCTTAAGAGAATGCAAAGGCTGAGCAAACTGACCACGTTGTTGGCCGTCTTGTTCTGAGTGCCAGGTCTTGCCATGTCCACTCCACCAAACGGTTTGGCGCCCGGGCTGCGAGACTGGAGACGAAATGGCAAGATTTAAAACAGATGAATGACTATCTCAAGATACATATAAGGCTTCATTTAGATATGGTACTAAAATGGCACAACTGAAGTAGAAGAGTGTAGTTGAGGGTTACCATTAGCCTCTAGTCAGCTACCTCATTAAAATTTGATCAAAGAGTTTTTGGGTTTTTTAGTAGAGGTTTTACGGTGCTCGCAACTGCATAAGGTCATATGAGCGCCAGGAGATTAGAGGTGTTACAAGAGAGTAACAAACATAAAAAAAGAAGAAGGGGAGATAAGGACGATAGATGTTTGATAAGAAAGAAGGAGCAAACCACACCAGAGCACCCGCCAACCACCCACTTATCACAGAGTGAACTGAGAAAAAACAAACTCATAACAGAAAAGAAAGAGTACACCACACTGCAACATAGAGTTCAGCAACCCTCCCCATCAAGATAGAAATGGTCAAATAGTACTAAAGGGGACCCCCCCAAAAAAAAAACCAAAAAAAAAACAAAAAAACAACAAAACAAAACAAACAAACAAAACAAAAAAACAAACTTCAAGCAGTTATTCACCCATAAAAGAAAGCTTTACTAGTTTAGATTGTCCACATGACCAGATCTCATTGCACAACCAAACACCAACCCACAAGAAAAATCTGGGATACAAACCCCTAGTTTGTTCTCTATGGTGTCCCTCAGGTTCGACACGCCGCCCCCTGGACTGCGTTTGGGCGAGGTGAGCCGGGACGACGGTGACGGCATGCCATGTCTGTCTTCCCTGTGGAAGGAGGGGCGAGGGGGTGGGGGTCGAAGAAAGTCTTCTTTGTTAGTTTTTTTTTCCTCTGTTCAATAATCAGCACATCAATAGTGCACATCGATGAGGCTGATATACATGTTGTGTAAAATTTGGGTGGGTGTGGTACCTTCACATCACCGGCCACCTGATCAGGTGTACTAAGATAAAAATTTGGAAAATTTTAACAAATTGTACTTTCTTTGCTTGTGATATTGGTTGCATGTGCTCAAGAAACTAGTCAAAATTAAAATTGTAAATGCTGAAAAAAAAAACCACACAAGAAAAGATTTACAATGTAGGTACAATTGTTAAAAGAATGATGCAGTTTTTTTTCTCTCTCCTGAAAAATTTTGATTTCCGGGCTTAGTTCTCTTATACAGCTTGCCGACTATATGAAATTTGTTAGAACTTACATAGTTCTGGATTTTATGTTTTCCCCCAGTGTGCTGTGGTTGACTGTTACAGACAGTTTTTGCTTGACATATGTAGGCAATGGTGACTGCTAAGTGTGAAACAAGAAACCTCTGACAACTCAACATTACATTAGACAAAGAAAAAAAAAAGTCACTTCGACTGAAAGTTCATTAAAACATTAGGGCTCTTGTGCAAGAAGGTTGGACCAAAATTCCTTTTTTCTCCAGCTGCATGGACATTTAGTTCTCTGCAACAATCTTTGCTATCACAAACAATCTCAGATGTCAATTCAAGTATTTATCTCCAAAAGGATCCAAGCCAGGATGAGGAAAACAAACATTTTCTGACAAAAAACCATACAAACTC